ATGAGTAGGACTGAGGTCAACTTTCAACAATTCACATTCATCCCGCCTGGCACGAGCCCCATGATGCGTCAATCATCCGCAAGGATCCCTCGGTGGGTGTTGAATTTGTCAAGTAAGACACCTAGACTCCTAGCAAAATGGGGACTTATTTATCAAGTCTTCAGCAAGAACAATATGTACAGGACCAGGAATGGTCTAAAATAGACAGCTATTTTCATGAACAGCCAAGAGTTAAAGCAGAAGAGATTTCTACATGTTCCAAAGTGCGTACTTGCCTTCAAGGCCCACACAACTTTCTTTTCGATCCAGAATTTGAAACTAAACTACTCAATCAACTTCCTCAAATTCTGCCTCCTCTCCCTTCAGCATCCTTGGCTTCTTTGCTGCAGCATGAGAACACCTTCTGGAAAACCCAGGATGAATTAAAAGCATTGCCACCTCAGGCAACTGAGGTTGATAACCATCCTTCAATGGATACAACAGGTGCTTGTTCAGAAAATTGTCCAGAAACTAGCTGTGTAATTTCTGCTGTCATGCAAGAATCTGCCATAGCAGTTCCTGTTGGATCTGAACTTTTCCCAGCTCATGGCATCTGCGAACTGCAACTCAGTCTTAAAGACAAAGGGACAGCGGCTCTCCCTGACTTCTGTTCTGTCCAACGGCCCGTCCCTAGTGACTGGAGCAGGGGTATCCTCATTAGCCCTCAGCAGGTAAAAATTAATGTTGCTGTGAACCCTGATGGTCCTCTGATGTATTTGGGGTGCATTTGTCTCCCTGAATGCTCTTCTGTCCAACGGCCCGTCCCTAGTGACTGGAGCAGGGGTATCCTCATTAGCCCTCAGCAAGTAAAAATTAATGTTGCTGTGAACCCTGATGGTCCTCTGATGTATTTGGGAGAAGGTGCATTTGCTTCTGCAGTACAGCAAGTCTGCCTCAGAGATGCATCTCTAGCAGACAAAGCTTGGAAGCAGACATTCCAATCAAAAATGACTCTCTTCTTCCC